TGCAACTCAAAATTGCATAATTTGCCCCAGTGGTAGAGACGGTGATTGAATGAGCTCGGGTATAGTTTATCTGATCTCCTATAAGTCGTGTGGTGGCGAATACATTGGCGAAACGGGTAGACCCCTCTGTGTCCGCATGAAAGAACACCTAGCCGGCAAAAATAGACCAAATACCCCGCTAGGCACGCATAGGACCCAGAGACATAACGGGGACGACTTCGAAGTATGTGTCACGATCCTCGCACGCGAATCGAGAACACAGGCGCGAAAAACCCTCGAGGCACTCCGGATTAATTCCAGAAATCCGAAAATGAACCGCAGGGAAGAATGCCTCATTATCACGCGTGATATAGGGCAGTATATAAAACTGCTTTTCTGATGTGAGGGGCACATTATACTTCCACGTGATTTCTGCGCGGTTGGTCTCTACGTGACATACTTAGTGGAGACCTCATAGAAAGCGGTGAGTGTGCAAAGCTGTGTTCAAAGTGATTGAAATCTTGGTTTGGGGTTTCTTTGTTTGGTTATGGAGGCGTCTGGCCGAGTGAGTTGCTATCAACTTGACCTTTCCAGGCTCTGAAGAAGGCGAAATTCGCCGAAACGTCAGCTTAATCGTGAACAAAGAACAATAACACCTCGCGTTTGCTCAAAAAATACGAACAAAACCACAACATACTGTCGCATCGTAGATCAAGAATTTACGAGCTCCGTATCATCGAACATCTAGTGATCCTGAGGGCTCATCGTTAGATCATTCGCCGCACAACACCAGCATCAACAAGGACTTCATCGATATTCAGTTCTTCTCGATTTTTTTAGATGTACACTTCTAGAGAAGTGAAACAGCTTCCCTTCTACCACTTGTTAAGTTTTTAACTCCTCAACCAGTCAAATTATCGACGAATCGACATTCTCCAGGAATATTTCATATAAAGTTCAATTTCTGATCAACATTTCACTGTTGTTTCTTTTTCAATTGACAAATTGGGTCAAAGTAGCATGAACGGTGCAAATATAAGCAAAGAGTACCGAAACTCATTCAACGTAATCTGCTAATAGTTCCCAGGATCGAGTTTCGGCAGTATCGCCTTTTCCAGAGCCTGGAAGGGTACACTAATATGTAATTTACTAGGTCAAACGATTCAACAACGCAAGCAGAAAGATGGAAATCTGAACAATAATTACACGATCACCGGCTTCTCGAAAAACCCACAGTTTTTATCTGTTTTCCATCAAGGAAGAACAACCGCTTAGAGTCGTATATGGCTGATTGCTGGGCGACTCCACATCAAAAATCAGTTCTGAGATACGGGGCTAGATCCCGCGTTATCTCTGGGCATTCTTCCCTGCTATTCATTCTCGGATTTTTGGAATTTATCCAAAAAGCCTCGAGAAATTCGCGCGTTGGTGTTTTAGTCTCTCGTAGGATGATAGCGACTTTTACATCAAAATCTTATCCGCTATGTTTTTGTATCCAATGCGTGCCTAGTGGCGTGCCTCGTTTCAATTTTCGTTTGCCATCTAGGTGTAGGTGTTCTTTTATGTGGATACATGAAAGTTTACCCGTTTCACATATTGGTGCACCCTTCCAGGCTTTGCAGAAGTCAATACTGCCGAAACGTCAGCTACCGTTGAGTTGTATGTGTTATATTTGTAAGGAAGTAAAGGTGTGCTGAATAACAACCTCGTATTCGAATTGTGAAGGAGGTCCTGTCACCAAGACAAAAGATCATCTTAGGTAGACAACAGATCCACTTTCTCCGCCGCTGCATTCAACATCGAGTCGTGCTGAAGTTCATAAAACGGAAACGGGTTCACGAGATATGCGATAAACCAGAGGACAGCCAACAAGCACGAGGCATCGAAATGGAACTACTTCGGTCCGCACTACGAAGCAAACGGAACGATATGTCTGGAAAATGATGGATTGTGTGACGAAGGAACATTTTTGTGCTTTGCATTTGGAGGATCAACTTTGGAGGAGAATAGTCGGTGGGTCAATACTGATATACAAATCTATTAGGTCTAATGTTAAAATGACCTTGCAGCGAAAGTTTAAGAATCTGTTGACTAACTCGCGTGTCTCGGCTTCAAGAAATCACAGACAAACGGACTTCGCTAGGAGTCAAAGTATCGTTGACAATGCACCGAGAAAATTTAGGATCACCGTGATTGGGGGCGTAACAACACCTGAGAGTGCGCGTTCGCTATTAAAATTGGGCCCAAGTTTTGCACGACCACAACCCATTTCTAAAACGACCCTGCGTAGGATAGCATGCAACATTTATGGGCATCAAGATCGACCACGCTATCAGGCCAAACAAGAAACATCAAATAGAGGTGAAAACCAAGAGGCGGCGACATTACCGCCATCTCCTTTCCCTAGAACGTTTCTTAGACAGCAGAATCCCAACGACGGCATTGACACAAAATTCCGCATGTTTTCGGACGGCGTTTTGAAGACCCTTAATCACTGCCGTGATAAAATATTTATCTCTAACCTTACAGCAGCACGAAAGTGTGGCATGCAAGAAATTAGAATTCCTCGCCAGCTGGATGTTAAGATGACTGAGGAACATCCATCTAAGTGATGTTGCCCTTTATCGCCCATCATCTGAAAGGGGATACAAAAGTCAATACCGAAAAACAAACAATCAATGGGTCAAAACCGCAAAGGAGGCAGGCTTAAAATCGTCGGTTATTTCGCACTTTAAAATCGATAAACCAACAGGTCCCATCCTATACCTACTTATTAAAACACATAAGTTGGTAACACCTGATGATCATGCGTCAACCAAGACCGTTCATCAGCTGTGTAGACGGACCAACGGATAGGAAAACCTGGTTTTTAAGCCTAATACTTACCCAGTTGCTTAAACATATTCCAGTTGACCTCACGAACACCCAAATGTTCCTAGAACGTCTACGTCTCCTAATAACGCTTACGTGACGGAGTCTTTCGACGTTACCGCGTTGTACACCAACGCGTTCGACTTTTATGTATCCGCGCAAAAAGACATCTAGAAGGCAAACGAAAAGCAAAACTAGGTACCCCACTAGGGACGCATAAGATACCAAAACATGGACGATTTTGATATAAAAGTCACTATCATCGCACAGGAGACTAAAACACCAACGCGCAAATTTCTCAAGGCTTTTTGGATAAATTCCAAAAATCCGAGAATGAATAGCAAGGAAGAATGCCCAGAGATAACGCGGGATCTAGCCCCGTATCTCAGAACTGATTTTTGATGTGGAGTAGTGCAACAATCAGTCATATGCGACTCTAAGCGGCTATTCTTCCTTGGTGGAAAACAGATAAAACGGTAGGTTTTTCGAGAAGCCGGTGATCGTGTAATTATTGTTCAGATTTCCATCTTTCTGCCTGCGTTGAAGCGTTTGACCTAGTAAATTAGTGTACCCTTCCAAGCTCTGAAAAAGGCGATACTGCCGAAACATCAGCTACCATTGAGTTGTATGTGTTGTATTTGTAAGGAAGTAAAGGTGTGCTGAATAACAACCTCGCGATTGCTGTAAAAAAGAGAACAACAGATTTATAGTCTGCAAGATAGTTCGAGTTTTTAGCACTGATCTGAGCTAGTAAAACATCATTAATAGTGATATTTATAACTCTAATTGACTTAAACAAACCCTCTTCTACAGTTCTTTATGTTCTTAGCCTCTTACGCTCTCTAGTTATTGGAAAATTGTTGCATAGTCACGAATGAGCGACACTGTTCGTCATTTGCCGTGATTCAATTGCGGACGAGTTGCCGGGGTGTGTAGCAGACATGAGATAAGTGTCGTCGAACACAGCCGTCAGGGAATATTGAACGTCGAGAACTTTGGGGCGGGGTAACCCAAAGAATACCATGCTACATAGTTCAATAGAAGATGGTACCATGCACCCGCCATACACCATGCGAAAGTGCAAGAAGATTCTAGTAATGTACAGCACTTTCACCCCTTTTCATGAAACATTCGAAAAGATTCATATTTAACTTTATGTGTTAGTTCTAAAGTGCTGTTCGTTTTCTATCTATATACTATGGTCAGCTGTTGAACTTACAAGTATTCTCATCAGTGATAAACGTAAACTTTTCTAAAGAACCTACAAAGATCATTCTAAAATATTCACAGAGATCTTTGTAAAACTCCGCACCGCTGGAGTCTGCTGTGGGAACCGGAAACGTTACCACGCTCTCTAGGGATGACGCGTTCACCACCACACTATGCAAGTCCTTTATTTCGTAGTGGTGAACGGGTTAGCTCCGGGAAATTGTAATAGCGTGTTCGGTCCCTACCGCAGACCCCAGCGGTTCGGAGTTTTGCATATATCTCAGCATCATTGTGGTTATGTTCCACGTAATATCCTGCTGTTAAAAAAAAAGAGTAAGCAGTAAATAAGGAGCGACGACGAAGTGAATCAAATTTTATTGAATTGAAAACGCAGTCGTTCACGACATCTCTAACAAAACGAGCTGTTCAAAGTCTGCAGTTTGCAGAAGTACCTTATTGATTATGTGATGCTTGTAATAACGCGTAGACTAGAGCATTGCAGATTCTGTGTATTTGCTTCTACAATATCCTTTGCATCTGCTCCGTATACGGCAACTCGTTGGTGATACTCGTCATTCTCTACTTCCGACGACTTCGCACCGCCACCAACATTCTCATCCTCAACCTGGCTATTGGTAAGTACAGACCGCTGCTAATACTTATTCAGTAACAGCGCCACGACAGTCGGCTTTAGGAAAGAGATTGTTGTTTGCAAATTCCACCTTATAAATCACATTGTGCGATATGAAATTTATGCGCTTACAACCATTTTGCCTTTGTTTATGTTCACTAGGGCGCGTGTGGCGCAGTGGTCGGAGGCACCCTGCAATGCAACGTGTACACGTGGAATCGATTCCGACGCCCATGGTCTACTGAGCCTTCCATCCCTCCGGGGTCGGTAAACTGGTACTAGACCTGTCTGGGAGGATAGCAGCACTGGCTTGATGCATCTGTAGGCCAGCGCGAGTTATTGTAAAGGCCGGATATGCATTCAATCACTTCCAATTAATGAAGTCGAATGCATGGCGCATTCCTGAGTGATTGATCAACCCGAGAGCCTTATGCTTTCTATCCTTTTTTAAATTTTACTGTTGTTCTCATAAAGAATCATTCAATACAACGAACACAAGGGTACATTTGAAGTTTTAGAAACGATGAAGTGGAGAAAAAGGTTTTAAACACCTTCGAGCAGGCGCACTGTCAGTTTTCACACCAGCTAAACTGATTGCGTGGTCATTTGAAAATTTTTGACCATTAATTAGTCACTTTTGCTGGCTACAGAAAATCTATGAGGACTATGTTTCGAAATTCTTCCATCTTCAGACTTTATGGTTGCATATGATCTTCTTGCCCTCAGCAAGAAGCACCTGGCACCAACGATCCTCCCTTGTGCATTTATTGAGTCCACACGTGGACCTACCTACTAGTCAACGACAAGTTGTTGGCATAGTGATGCCAAATTTGCCATAGTCAGTTAACTCTTTTGAAAAACAATCTGTGGACGGATAATGTGACTATTTGTAGCAACTATGCTAATTGTTTCGAAACCGACTTTCGTTTAACCTCGGTATGACTAATCAATATGTACCCTTTCTTTGATGAGCTTGAACTACTTTCTACAACTACACCTTGTACTCTTTGAAAGAGTACATCTCGACTAGTTACACCGAGGTTAAAGGAAAGTTTCGAAATATTAAATCTTTCTACTTTTGTTCAGCAAACACAAGGTGTTACTTTATTTCTTTATTTCCGTACAAGATGACGTTTCGGCGGATTTCGTCCTCCTCAGAGCCTGGAAAGGTCAAGTTGACTACAATCTACGCGGCCAAACACCTCCATAACCAAACAGAGGAAATGCTGAACCGAAATTTCATTCACATTGAACACAGAGTCTTTGCACACTCACCGCTTTCTATGAGGGCTGCACTGAGTATGTCACTTGGAGACCAACCGCACAGAGTTCACACGGCATCGTATTGTGTCCATCTCATCAAAATAACAGGCTTATATACTGCCCAATATCACGCGTTATAATGATGCATTCCTCTCTGCGCCCTGCGGTTCATCTTCCGTTCCTTGGAATTAATCCAGAATGCCTCTAGAGTTTTGCGTCCTTGTGTTCTCGATTCTTGCCCGAGGATCGTAACCCCTACTTCAAAATCTTCTCCGTTATGTCTCTGCGTCCTATGCCTGCCTAGTGGAGTATTTGGTTATTTGGTTATTTGGAAACACCAAGTCGTTCCGAAATTCATAAAATGAAAACGACTACACGAAGTATGCGGACTGCCAGAGGATGACCACCGAGTACTGGACATCGAATTGCAAGTACTACGCACCTGTCTACAAAACAAACAAAACCAAATCTTCACCAGGTGGAAGAAGAGCGAGAAGTAAGAAAACTATTGTGCTCAGTATTTGGAGGACCGCCTCTGGAGGAGAATAGTGGGTGGGTCAGTGTTGATTTGCAACTCCACTAGGTCTAACGCTAAAGTGACTTTGCAGAGAAAATTCGAAGAGCTTTTGAGTAAATCGCATAAAACGGCTTCAAGAACATACAGAAACACCGCCAACGAAGATCAAACGAGTCACAGTAGGATAATGTGCAAAGAAATTCAAGGCTAAGCGTGCTAGGAGGCATGACTCTCCCTGATGGTGCGCGCTCGTTATTAGAATTGGGACCAAGTTTCTCACCATCTGAACACATTTCTAAGGTAACCTTGCGTACGGTCGCATGTAGTTTACATGAACTTCAAGATAGGCTCCGCAAAAAAGCTAGGGATGAAGGGCTAAATAGGCGTGAACAACAAAAAGTCGGGGCAATAGCAGTACAACCATTTCCTCAACCGCTCTTTAGACAACAAGGGCCCAATAATGAAGTTGACATGAAATTTCGGACATTTACGAATGCAACTTTCAAAGTCCTTAATCACTATCGCGCCAAGAGATACAGCTCCAACCCCACTGAAATACAAAAACGTGATATGCAGGAGGTACGAGAGCTGATAAGATCGGAAAACGTAAGACTATCGGTTAGTGATAAGGATGAAGAGTTTGTTGTAATTCCTCACCAGTTAGATGTTGAGATAACGGAAAAGCACCTTGAAGATGCGTCCATTGTCTGAGAAGGAATTTAAAAGTCAATACCGAAAGTTAAACAACGAATGGGTTAAAATGACAAAAGTGGCTGGGCTAAAACCATCAGTTATTTCTCAACTCAAAGTTGACTTACTAAAATGTCCCGTCCTGTACTTACTTATCAAAGCCTATAAGTTAGTATGCAGCGATGATCTCGTGTCTACCAATCCATTGTTATTTAAGGTCAGACCTATCATTAGCTGCGTCGACGGGCCAACGGATGGAATAACGTGGTTAATAACCCTAATACTTACTCAGTTGTTGAAGTACATTCCAGCTCATCTAACGAATACCCAGATGTTTCTGGATCGTCTACATAACGCGCGACCCAACAGCGCGTACGTGTCGGAGTCTTTCGATGTCATTGCCCTCTATACGAACGTGTCGAATGACTCCGCTATGCAAGCCATTAGCGAGCTCCTTATACAGCAGGAAGGAGCAATAAACGTGTCCGGTTTCTCGATTCAGCAGTTGATAACACTCTAAAAGGAGTGCCTAAACTGCACAATCTTCGGATGGTCCGAGAGACATTATGCACAAATGAGAGGGCTGTGACAATGAGACAACAACTGGCACCAAGCCATGCCATTGCATTTATGTCTAAGGTGGAAGCGCCAGCAATCGGCCTCGGTCCGTTACTCTACTGTGGATATATAGAAGACTGCTTGGTCATTTGTTCACGACAAGAGGAAATTGACAAATGGTTCGAGTTGTTGAACGAACAGTCAGAGCTCATTAAATTCACCCGAGAGAAACCAAAAGAAAACTGGCTTCCATTTCTGAACGTGCAAATTAACCTATTAGAAAACGGCTACAATACGAAATGGTATCGAAAGCCAAGTAATAAAAACATCTTGGTTCACTACCTCTCTTCTCACCGCTCTTACACGAAAAGGGCACTTGTGAGAAACATGTTTCGATCAACTACCAGCGTGTGCACAGGAAGACAACAGAGAGAGGAGTCCCGGAACTTGGCGCGGCAAATAGCCATTTTTAATGGCTACGAAACCGTAGCTCGAGATAGGTGTAGAGGAAACCACAGGTACCCCAACGATAACTTTAGCGACAATAAGGTTCCGTTTATCCTGCCCTTCATTTCAAATGAATTAAGAACAGCTATTAAACGCTGTTTAAGAAGTGCCAGTCTAGAGAATTTGGTAACGATAATTGAAATGCCACCGAGTAATCTAAGACGCCAGCTAGTTCGTAACCGTCTATACCACCGCCTATGTGCAACGCAAAATTGCATAATTTGCCCCAATGGTAGAGACGGTGACTGCATGAGTTCGGGTACAGTCTATCTGACCTCTTGTAAAGCATGCGGGGACGAATACGTTTGCGAAACAAGTAGACCACTCTGCGTGCGTATAAAAGAACACCTAGTCGGCAAACGTAAACCAAATACTCCACTAGGCAGGCATAGGACGCAGAGACATAACGGAGAAGATTTTGAAGTAGGGGTTACGATCCTCTCGCAAGAATCGAGAACACAAGCGCGAAAAACTCTAGAGGCATTCTGGATTAATTCCAAGGATCGGCAAATGAACCGTAGGTAGGAATGCCTCATTATAGCGCATGATATTGAGCAGTATATAAGCTTGTTACTCTGATGGGATGGGCACAATACGATTCCGTGTGAACTCTGTGCGGTTGGTCTCCACGTGACATACTCAGTGGAGGTTTCAAAGAAAGCGATGAGTGTGCAAAGACTACGTGTTCAATGTGATTGAAATTTTGGCTTAGCATCTTCTCTATTTGGTTATGGAGGTGTTTGGCCGTGTAGATTGCAGTTAACTTGACCTTTCCAGGCTCTGTGGAGGACGAAATCCGCCGAAACGTCATCTTGTACGGAAATAAAGAAATAAAGTAACACCTTGTGTTTGCTGAACAGAAGTAGAAAGAATTGTTCAATCAATGCCGAGGTTAGTAGAAAGTCGGACTTGGGAGTTTCGAAATATTACTACTTCTTGTGCTAACTGATAATAATACCGACTTCCGCAGGATGGACTGTCTGGTTGAAAAATAAGTTGTTATCACCGGACATTATGATTGTATCCAACATCAGCATCCTGCATAAAAGGGCATCACCGAGTGAGTATGCCTCACTCGAGGGAATGGCCCTCTGAGGAACATCTGACTCGACACGAAGGCGAAGTCGCCACATCAAGACGAGCAACAAGTGGAGTATCGATTCGGATCGTCGGCTCTGATGAAAAAAAAGTCGTCGTCGAAACGTTAGCCGAAAATAAATATGTATTCTTTCTTTGATGAGCTTACACGAGGTTGATAATGATGTTTATTTTCGGCTAACGTTTCGACGTCTTCGTCTTCCTCAGAGCCGATGATCCGAGTCGATGGTCCTCGCTTGTTATTCGCTTCGACGTGAAATATTACTACGCTTTGTGCTAGCTGAAAATAAATATATTTATCAGCCTAGTATAAGCTTATTAAAGAAAGAGTACGTATCCTAATTGTGTCAGCTGTCATCCCTCAAGCGGCAAAGCACACTTACGGCTCCCAAGACAAACCTTCATTCATCCCTGTCGTTCACTAGGGCTTCCTAGCTGTGTTGGTTTATTTGCACGTTCTTGTTGCGAATTTTTCATGTAGTCAACGTCTCAGCGTCACCGCCGTCTTCAGAGCTACAGTGACTCGATCAGTGTAGTCCACACCATTCGTTTCTTCATGCTATGCAGTCGTCGTAGTCGCATCGAGCTGACTCAAGTGGAGGAGAGAACCATTGGAAAAAACAGTGTTATTTTATACATGTCGTGTCTTACCTGATTTTATCTAGCTATCTCTCTGTTTCACACGATATAGGCCGATTTTTTTCAAATTACTTGTTTTCGTGGTGTCAGTCCGTTTTGCTGCGACAGTTGGATTAATGTCAGCTAACATGTAACAGTGTAATGTTTGCAGTACGACGTTCATTTATCATTGTCGTAAATAACTTTTACTTGAGTTCAGTCGCAAGTAAATCACCTGCCTGACCCTTTTCATAGCACCACCATTAGCTGCTATTCTTCCACCTTTGGCTTAGCATATTCTTTACCGTTATATTCAACATCCAAGAAAATTCCTCCACCACAGCATTGTGTTCCATTTTGATGATACACCTGCCTAGGACGTGTATGTCAAGTGTTAGGCCGCAGCACTGCGATTGTGCAGTTCGCAACTATGCCTCTTCCATCTAACCACATTCGAAAACTAGAAGGATAAAGAACAAAGCTCTCGGCATTAATCAATCCCTGAGGGATGCACCATGCATTCCACTTCATTAAGTCTCGTTTGGACGTGAATGAATGCATATCTGGCCTTTACAATCACTCACGGTGGCCTACCAATGTGTCGAGCCAGTGCTGCTATCCACTCAGAAAAATCTGGCACCTATTTGCCGGTCCCAGAGGAAAGATTAGGGAACAAAATCAAACTTCTGGCTAGGCTGCGAAGAAATTGAAAGATTTTGTTCTTTACAAAAGGAAAAAGCTTTGCGTAAAAAAAATCAAAAAGCCCAAACTATGAGGCCCTTACTAAATATTGATTATAGGGAAATGTTAGCTTTGCTCACAACGCTTGGGGGTAGAAACGAGCCGTGTGAGCAAAATATTTGAAAACCCAGTCACCCTTGAACCCGTCTGGCATGATAAGTGATCCATCAAGTGCTGTTTGTAGTCATAAAATTTTGATTGTGCGCCTGAGAGAGCAAACAGGGTTTTGATTGCTCCAATGTCCAAGTATAGAGGTGCGTATAGCAAAAACAACACTTTAGCGAACAGGAATTTAGCACAAGACAAGTGTTGCCATTTCTTGCCGCTCTAAGGCGAACTACTGCTTAAACCGTAGCGTCTGCTTCAAGAATTTTAGCCGACCTGCTGATTGCCGTGTTCTGCATTCCGTTTTCGTACTGGCAAGTGCTGATCTTCGACGATCAACGCTGGGTGTTTGGATCGGCGATGTGCAGTTTGCTTTCCTTCTTCCAGGGAATCGCAGTGTTCCTCAGCTCGTGGACCCTGGTCGTCATAAGGTACGCCAAAAATCTCATTGCTTCCATTGACATAAAAAAAAGTGGCTTCAATATTCTTGAGAATTTGGGTAGTTTTCGTCCAAAACCAAATATTTTACTCAAAAAATCCCCATTTTGATATTTCCAACATCCGAACGATTACATAGATTTAGCTGCATTCATGTGAAAGCTCAAGGATGAAAACTTTACTCTATGGATAATTTGTCGATCTTCAAGCAATGTTTTATAAAGCCGCTGACGATCAGCTTCGGACTATTTTCAGTGCTACTCTCGTAGTAAGGAGAATAATGTGTAATTCTTTTCCGCTCAACCATCCAACAATTGGTAATCTGCTCAAAACAAGAAATGAACAGTAAAATATTTTTAATAGGTTTTTTGTTTCACTTTTTACTACCCCTACACGAGCATGAATCACGTATGATGCGGATTCCAGCACTTCCTTTACTCTTTGTATTCATTATCTATCAAGGTATAGACATCTGCTTGTGTACACCAGCGCTACCTGAGGATGTTGATCTTTTTCATCAATGTCGCCGAACAGTGGTCGAGTCGATTCTCCATGGAATATTAGGATAGGCCTGCTAGGACGTTTCACAGACCTTCACCATGTTCAATCACCAGCTTTTGGTGTTCATGAAAAGCTCATGGACATGCATAGTACTAATTTGATGCATCGGGAGGGATTAAAGGCTTTAGCTCAGCGCAGGCCTAAACCAGTTGCCCTGTCTGTATTGTTCAATTGCATTATTATCTCATTACTGGTTGTTTGAACGTGTTACTACTATGTTTATTGGCAATTAATTAGTATTTATTTGTGACTTACTAGGAATTCTCCTAACGGTTTACCGCCTCATCGTGGCTGGGAGGTGTTCCTAGCTGTTGGACTGCGATGTACTGCGGGGATTCATCCCTGGTCCTCTGGCAGGGTCTCTCAAGCTGAGGAGGAGTCCGGCGTTTTCATTAGGAAACCTAGCTAAGAGTAAGCCCAAACGAGTCTTCCTGATCCACAAGGGCTGTGGTGGTGACTACCTGGGGCAGACTTTGGCCAGGCTGACCTCGGGGCTCCAAGGAGCCACTTTGGCTAAACTAGCAAAACTCCGAAAAAGTGGAGATTATGATGAGGCCCGCACAATAGCGAGGACGGGCCTTCCAAGTATCCAAATATCTATGATTTCCTAAGAATTAAAGTGAGCAAAGAAAACTACAGAAAATCTTACAGACTTGGGTGATAAGTCCACACTTCGACCGCAACATATTCCACTTTTTTAGACAAGTCCATTTTTATCATGCTAACATTCGTCAATATCATTTCGTTACTGACAGACAGTTTTCAGGCGAGAGTATCCCAGGCAAAACAAGCCCTCTATACTTCTGGAGCAACCAAAATGGTACCATATTGGTATGGAGGATAGAAACACTGACTTAATGTTATAGATCCGTACACAGGCCTCCGGAAGGCGTTTTATGGGCCTGATATCCATCCAGTCACCACTACAATGCAAGGAGCCTATGCATGGCACCTCCCCTAGGAATTGATCAGCGCTGAACGCTTCGTCCTTTAGTTAGAGCAGAATTTAGCTGCTGTTCTTATGTAGAATAGTCAACTCGTTGGATAACAAGTCACCTGTATCACCTTCAGCTGCAATACCCATGATCGTCGAGTGACTCGCGCGAGCGCCAGTAAGCTCTTTATTTCTCCATGTCGCATACAAGAGTAGCCCACTAGGATATTCTCTCTCTACGAACTCGTTGAGCATCACTTCCTTCTAAGGTTTTCGTGAAAATGAAGAACTCTGACCGTCGGGTCCGCGGTCTTACTTCAACACGCTTGACGTGCCATGTAATCCAGTTGCTAATAGCCCTTGTTCACCGCTTGTCGTTCATACTCATTATGTATTCGGCTTGCCTTATCTTCGACAATAATTCTTAAACTGGCTATCGTTTAACCGCGACAGTAAAATACTCAAATTGTTTTTGTTGAGCTTACACAAGGATGGTAAAAAAAAAGCTCCTAGCATCGTTCTTTCGACTGAAAGCTCAATAACGCTGAGTGACATTTTATTCTGCTTACATAACAATCAGGTTTCTGACGCATACGTTAGGGCAGGAAGTACCATAGACTCGAAAAGGTGGAAGCAGAGTCGGGTGTTCTTTGTTCTCTTCACTACATCCTCCATGTAATTACCAACCATCGATTCTCACTCCAATGTTGTCCCATTCCAGTGTTGGCATAACGTTTTCGAGGGTGGAATTAAATGAGATGACAACGCATTGCCTAGCCTCCCATTTTACGTCGGTGTTAGCAACGTTTTTGGATGTTTTTTGCGATATTTTTATACAGCTCGTGAAGAGCCGTATTGCATCGAGTGAGAACTCGTTGGACGCCCAGAACTTCTATAACTGCTGCTATCTCATCTGAGTCGAAAATTTTCCTCAGATCAACGATAGTGCATCAGAGCGGTTTCCTGTACTTTCGCGACACTTCTATGAGTCTTGTTATTGCGTTGTTATGGTTCACTGTACTGAACGCTTTTCGAAGTTCTGCTTGCGCACATGGCTGTACTTCGTTTAGTATTCTGTCAATCCTGTTTAGCATAACTTGAGTGAAGAGTTTGTAAACAGGAAACCATCAGATTGGGCGGTAGTTGCAGACAATGGACGGCTTACGCTTCTTGAAAAATAAGACGGTTTTGCTTGTCTTCCACTGGAGAGGAATCTTGCATTCTGACAGGACAACGTGCGAAGAACCGAACCGATGTGTTTATGACGATCAACGGAAGGTTCTTCAGGTGTTCAGATCCTATGACCCATCAACCACATGTTATTCGTTTTTTCACCGACGATTTTGTGCGTCTCCTTTTTGGAAGCTGTAACTATTTCGTTTGTACGTCGGAGTGCAGTCATATTGGTTTTGTAATTGGCGAAGCATCGGTGGATTTGCGAATGTTCTTTTAATCCTGAGCAACTTTGACCACAACTACCGCTGTTTTTTCTTTAACATCTTCTTTGATCGTCGTTCTGCATTGTTTTACAAGTTCGGACGGAAGTTGGCGCTTTCTTATAGCTCGTACGACTCCACGCAGGCATATCAGCTCGTGTGTTTCTGGGAAAAGAATTCTGTTACCGACCTTCGAACGTTCAGTTTTCAAGGCTCTGATACGAAAATGTTGAATAAGCCGATCATCTTCGTCGATATTGTCAATAGCGGCATCTTCCGAAGAATGACTAGCGATTTGGGCAAATTCTAGTTCACCGTGGTTTTGTGTGACTTAGTTTTTTTTAGACTCAGTGAAGTATCACGAGAGCACAAAAGACCGCTCTGTCTCACTTTCATCGATTTACAGAAGGCCTTTGATTCAGCTGAGATATAAACAGTCTTGGAAGCCCTTGATAGTCAAGGAGTCCCTAGTCAGCACATAAAGATCCTTCCTGAGCAGTAAAAAAAATTTCACAATTAAGATATCACCATTCTACAACGATATTAACATTTACGTCAAAAGAAGAGTTAGACGAAGCGATACCATCTCGCCAAAATTATTTACCGGCACCCTCGAGAGCGTCATGCGAACATTGGAATGGGACAACATGGGTGTGAAAGTCGATATTCGGCCATTAGGCCATCTTCACTTTGCTAAGGATATAGTTCTTGTAACACCAAGCTTAAGCCAGGCAGAATAAATAATAGTCTACTTTGATAACGCTCGTAGAAGCATTGTTCTCCGATTAGATCTCACAAAACGATTTTAATGAAGAACGGATAGGTTTATTATACCCAATTCACAAGTAACGGAACGAATGTCTCCTAATGGTCCAGATACTAGGTCGAGAAATCGACATGGTGAACGACTTAGCTTCAGAGTGGAGCAGCTGGAAGCGAGAGGCTTGAGGAGCTTTTAAGAGCATCGAGATTATAGTAGACTATAAAGAATACCAGACTCCTGTCCATCTTTTCGTCTCAACGATATTCACTGCGTTTCCGTAAGAAACCTGATCGATTCGTAGGCCGGTTGGAAGATCACTCAGCGTTATAGAACGCGCAGACGAAAGGGCGAAGCTAGGACTAACCCTTATGACCCAAGTGAGAAGCGGTGCGAAGCTCCGATCCATGTCTGTAATCAAAAATCGAAGGGGCCGTTCTATGCGCCAAACTTTCTAACGTAAGCCGGACACTTCGTCTGTACGAGCGATAACCAATGGAGAAGAGCCGTTAGCGACTGGATTCCTGGGCATGTCAAACAAACACTTGGAAAACCATCAACCCGATGCCCAGAGTTTTTTACGCAAGCCCTGAAAGAAAGAGCTAGTGCTTAACGAGTTTCCAGAGAGAGCAGAACCCACTGAGCTACCCTTGAACACGACAGAGAGAAATGAAAGGTTAACTGGCGGCCGCTTGAGTCATTCAACGATCAACAGGAGAACACGTGATGCAGGTGATGGCTGCGTCGTTGTCTTCCTTTGTGTCTTTTCGCTTATGTAGATTGGAACTTGTCCCTCTTTCTTGTGTGCCTCAGCATCAGCAGCAGTTTTCGTCCTGCTTGCGCAGTGAATTGGTCCCCTAAGCGTGCGTTAAGGTGGAGGGAATCGTAGATCCGGAAACACCGAGATTGAACTCCTCACTGCATCCTCAATTGCTTCTCAAAGGTTCCCATACCAGGCATTCCTTCTATTCGGATCTAGGGTCATGTTTCCCACTAGCTTGACTTCTGTAACCAATTATACATGGCTATGACAATTAAAGATATTATTCCGTTTTGTGTAAATGGGGCACAAAATTAAATCCTTCATTGGGATGATGTACTGTCTGACACCTCTGAAAATCTCCAAACCACGATGCAGTACTGTAAGTTGCTGTAGGAAATCATAAATGTAAAATGTTATTAATTGATATTTAAACGTTAATTCCATTGCAGTTTTGATCGTTGGATGGCGGTAACATTCGTCTTGTCGCTCACCATGCGTTTGACACGCAAAAGAGCCATCTATCTGGTAGCAACAACATGGACATTCAGGCAAGTTCACGCACTTCCGCTTTTCCTTGACCTGTCTCGTTACATTTTCTTCCATTTAATTCTATCTTGTTCTTCATCATTTTTGTCCTTTTTTCTCACGAAAATTAAAACTGTTATTCTACTCAACTATAGAGAAAATTTAGAAATATTCTACTAATGATTTGTATGACCCGTCAAAGGGTGGTTGTGCACACCCTAAGACTTCTTTGGTTCCATTTACTACATCCTTAATACACTAAGATCTTCGGATTCGCGTACGGCTTAGCCCGCCCTTGAGGTTTTTGCCTCCTTTCTGTATGGTCTGGAGTGTTGGTCAAATATGTTTCCTTGGATCATGGAGTAGCTCCGGTGGAACGCCTGTTTTACACCGTAACAAATCACCAACCTTTGGAGGTCGCATAAATCTTTTCCAGACAAGCCCGGTAGCTCCTTTGTAACCACAGAAATACGGGCGACAGTATTGGAGCAGATTGAGGGCAAACTAATGGAACCAATAGAAATAGAGCAAGAGTTGTGTGGCATAGTAGCCTTTCAAAGGTTTATTGCCTCGTAGTGGTTGGGAGGTGTTCCTGGGTGTGGAATGTGCAGCGGGAGGATATGACTCGCCAACAAGGTCTCCTAGGCTAAGAGGGGGGGGGGGGAAGCCCAGCTAGGACTAAACAAACGCCAGGATTCCCCACTGCCAGCTAGACTGACCTCAGGGCTCCAGGGAACCACACTAGCTAGATAAGCAAAACTCCAAAAATATGGAAACTATGCAGGGGCCCGCACAACCAGTGAATAGCGGCCATCCAAGTATCCAAGTAAGCAAACATATAAAGGACATAGTCCTTATAACACCAAGCATTAGCTAGGCCAAACGAGTGATTGCCAACTTCGACAACCCTCGTGAAAAGATTGATTTTAGACTACATTTAACAAAAACGATGATGAGGAATGGACTGGTTTCACATGACCCATTAAAGCTAACGGTTATCTCCGAATCTTCGGCTGCCTCCATCCAGGACGAGGAATTAACATGGTAACCGACTTAGCTCCAGAGTTGAGCAGTAGGAAGCGAGAGGTTCGGACGCTTTCAAGAGCATCGAGAATCTAGTGAAAAGAAGAAAGCATCCTCGGCTCCGTGCTCACCTTGCCGATTCGCCATCTCCCTGCCTTAACGTATGCGCTAGAAATCTGTTCGCTATATAACCAGAATGAGGGAACACTCAGCGTTATTGGAGGCGCAGTCGAAAGAACGGCACTAAGAGTATTAAGTGTCAAGCAAATGAAGGGGGATCCGAACTTCCGACTTACGTCAGCCATCTAATCACAGACGTCGTTCTATATACCAAATTGTCAAAAATAGGAGAGGCTGAACACGTAGTGCGTATGGAGAACAACCGATGGAACAGACCCGTTAACAATTGAATTCCTCGGAATGGTAAACATTACAGCAGGAAGACTGCATACCCGACCGATGGTCAAGGTTCTTCACGAAAACCACAGAGCGTGCAAAACCCATTGGGCTACTCTTGCACGCTACGGGGAAAAATTGAAGATTTATTGGCGCCCGCTCTAGTTACTTGACGGTCAACAGGAAGACAGGTGATACAGGTATTATTGAATAGTTTTGGAGAAAGGGATCTTTTGTGAATTCATACGTTTCCCGTCTACAGTGGATCAAGGGAATGGTCTGCCACAATGTCATTAAGTTCTATTCAGACTGGTTGTTCTAACATATACTTAGATTTGCTTCTCTATGAAATTGTCTAACCCATCCTAAAGTTTTATGAGCCTGCTGGGTATGATCCACCCACTTGTTGATCTGTTTTAGGAGCACCCAGAACATTCGGCCGGCCGTCTGGCCTTTACAATAACTCGCGGTGGCCTACCGATGTATCGAGCCATTGCTGCTATCTTCGCAGACAAGTCTGGTGCCAATTTGCCGAGCCTGGAAGAATGGAAGGCTTGACTTGGGATGCGGGAAACGATCCCATGTGTATTGCAACCCGCCTCTGACCACTGAGCTACACGGGCTCCTCGTGATATATTTATACATTAATATATATTTTTAAATATGTGTATATTCTGTGTTAACGTAGAGAGACTTCGATATATACAAAAAGACGCAGAGGCGATCATTTACAGCATAAGCATGGCGTTGCCACTGTTCCTGGTGTCGAAGGTGCACGACGATAAAGGAATAATACGATGCGATGAAGACTGGTCTTCTATAGAAGCCCTGATTCCCAGGGTAAGTGATTAAGTCAGTACAAAATCAGGACACCTCTTGTTACCTTCTTGTCAAAGTGCGCTTATCTAATTCACATTTTCAGATAACATACCGAATTCGGAATTCCTTTCAAATAATCGTGCAGAAATCTTTCTGCTTTATCATCCAATTAATAGTTTTTGGTTGACTGTCATTGCCGACTAGTTAACCAGTAGTAGTCGTCTGACGTTAGATCTTCCTATTGTCACATGAAGATGCTGGCGCATGTCATATAGACGCCTGAACTACAAATGCATTGCAGTCCCGCCGCCTCTACTCCTATCTGGTTCTCGTGCTACAGTACATCGTCCCACTTACCGTGCTAATCATCACGTACGCATTCATCGGTATGAGAATGTGGAACAGCCGAGTGCCTGGCTCGACAGGCTCGACGAGGAAGGCGACAAGCAATCGGCACGAGAGTGTTAAAAAGGCAAGCAGCACTAAGAAACGGATTTAAGACCAATATTTAAGATTTGTTTCAAATCTCTTCATAAAGCATGTCGAATAGTCGTTTAGTCGTAACTTCGAAGAAATTCTAGTGTAGTCGACTTTCTAATCTGAGATTCAGAAATCTCCTATACAACCGTTGTAGTGTGAGCAAATTCTTTTTTTTCATAAACAGGGTCCGCTTTTGGATCGGTGTGTACCCTCGAATATTTTCAACTGGCTAGATTACAACTAACGCCTGACATCTTTCGAAAACGTGCATTCGTTTTGTTGCACTCAAAAATTCTTATGGACGAAGAACTCATTCGACATAAGCAGAGGTTTAAGAAGACGAAGCCGTGCACGATATGACTTTCAGCTCATCTTGATGGTAATTTTGATCTCAGCTATGTTTGCCTTCTGCTGGTTGCCACTACTGCTCCTCATCAATGTTGTCATTGAGCTATGGCCAAACGTTGCCAGTTGGAAATATATTCTTTATATATGGTAAGCAATTTAGTAACTGACAATTGGACCTTTAATAATGTATCGGTTTCCTCTTTCTATAAAACCACATTGCGATCTATAAGTTGTTTTTCGAGAAAATCTTCACTATTAGATCCTCCTGAAGATAAGTGCCCTCAATTTTATACGACTCTGGCAGGGTGATTGCCCAAGATTTGTGCTCCCATCAGATCTTTCGGTCTCTGTATAGCTCGTCGTCCTGAAAGCAAACTACTTAGAAAATTTTAAAATTCCTTTCATTCCGACAAGCGGGTCAATTCCTGTACCGACAGCCGGAAGAAGGCCGAATAATGCTGCATAGTTACACTTAGAAAAGAACAAATAATTTGGTCAGCAGGGTTTGGGTTTAACTGTAATAATATGCACACTAACCACTCTTGTGTATAATCTGGAGGGCACAGACAGAGACAAAACAAGTCAGAGGTCACCAAGATTTTGGATGCATAGCTCGAAAACAAAAGAGGATGTGCTACTATGATGAACAGTTGCGTAGCATTGAAAAAACAACCTCATCTGTGCAGTGAATGTCGCTGTATAGCTGATATAGCCAATTTATAGGTGGTTCTCGCATGGCCTAGCTATGATGCATTCAATGGTTAACCCAATGGTGTATTTCCTGCGGAATGCGCGATTCCGCGAAGGGTTTTGCTACTTTTCACGATTCCTTCCCTGCGTTCATTTTTCTGAGTTTAAACTGCTCAGTGAACATGCGAGAAGGTTTGTTGTTTGCTAAAGTCGTCTACAATTTCTTTTTCAAAAATCCAGGATTATCTAGTAAACAGGTGCCATTCACAGTAGTCCACCGTACGACTACTAGGATTTGGAGCTTTCGATAGCTTAAATCAAAGCTCCGATACATTCTACTAAGAAGAATGGCAACTTAAGAAATTTAAAAGTCAAAACGCAGTGAGTGATCGATCCATTAACATTGCATACGTTAGTATGGTGTGAATATGTAGCAAACCGCTCCCATTTTCACAACACTGATTAGAGCAGCCGGCTTGGTTTTCCTTGCTGCTTTAATTTCTAACCAACAACTCAGTATTGTTTCGTTAAAGTACAATGGTCTTTTTCGAAAATGGAATTATCGATCCATGTTCCATTATCAGCATACGTCCTTTCCAGTTTACAGTATCACAACTGTCAAGCCGCAAGTTCATAATGGGAGTTTTTGTGAAGTTGAGGAAATCCATTATGGATGAGGCATCTTGCTGTGGTTAGCTAATTCTTTGTTTTTGTCATTTTTAAGCCCTCTCTAAAAAAACCTTATTGCTCTACATTTCTTTGTGTTTACACTTTCAAGCTCCTCCATACCATCCCCGAAACCTGTGCCGGAGAAACTTCACTGACCTGATGCCTCCCTGGCTGAAGTGAAATCGCGTGACCATGTCGTGCTACCTCAGTGAGCTAAACCGCATAACGAACGAAGCAACATGACAACATGACTGGACGTATCATCGATTTTTTTGCTTTCGCCTAACGAATTCTTCACTTTGAAATTTAAACTGCAATCCCAATTGCCTTTCTTTAACACTGTGACGGAGATGATATTTGTCGGCAGATTTTAGTCAACTATCCGCGCAATATTTGTAAAAGCCATGTGTTCTACATTGTGGAATACCCACCTGAAAGAAGAAAGGCGGATCATAGGTCTTGATGAGTGCTTGACTCTATCACGCTCACTTCATTTAACTTTGGAGGGTGAATTTCTGTACGCTTTCCTTTCAAGATTACCCTTCTCCAAACGCTCATAGAGTGTTAATTAGCCTTGCCTCCAAATGCTCATAAAGTGTTTTGCTTGTCGAGTACTTGTTAATGATATTTTAACAACTCCTTTTAGTTGATGACTCCTACTTTGAAGCCATTTTGACAAACTGTATTCTACTAACCATAAGTATGCTAAGATAATTAATTTTCGGTTTAATTTCCCAAGTTTGAGAAAAAGATTGTGATCATGGGTGGAAATAGAAGCGTTGGATGGATGTACGAAGAAGCAAAGTCAATTGTAAATTGAGAACATTGGCTTTTAGCAAAGAATTTTCGAAAAGATTTTGAAAAGTGCTCCAATATAGTGAATGAGCAGAAACCGAAAGCGTTAGATGCGCACTTATACATACTCGTCCTTTCACCAAACCTCAGCCATCGGCAGTCAAAACTACTGCTTTAGCGACTTGCGTTGTTGTGACAAAAGATACACTGGTAGCTATGAACGTGAAAGAGGAAACTCTTCGCCGTGAACTGCTAGAACCTGTGATCCGCTTTTCTTCTTTCAGGTGGACATTCCACAATGTGGTACAGATGACTTTTATAAATGTTACGTGGAAAGATGCCTAGAATCCGCCAACTATATATCGTCTCCATCACAGAGGGATATTTAGTCATTCGTCATGTTAGTTTCCAGACCTAGCAGCTGGATCAATCGGAGGCATTCCTACCCTTGAGCGTGAACGCATTTTACGAAAGTAATCCATTTTTCGTGAACATCTTTTTTGTGAAATTTAGTAGAAAACCATCTTTCCACGTGCTCCATGAAAATCTACAACGATTCGTTTCTCTTCGCTCATATTTCGTTCGTCAGCAAAGCGAAGATAATATAATTGCCGTCTGGGCAACTGCGAGAATCATATATGGAGCAGATTAGCGCATCATCAATGGCAAACTGAATCTCCCAGTTCAATTCGTCTATATGATTTTTCAGCAATACTTTCATAAGGACTTTCGCCCTCTAATAGAAAGCTCGTAATGGTTTTACTGTCATATTCGGACTCTAACAAACATATCTGGATAAAGCCCATGAAGCAATTTGGCTGCAGAGTTATCCGTGTCGCTCATTTGCTAGTGGTCACTGCTTTTCCTCTCTCCTTCTTGAAACGAAATGAAAACGACGACTTTTGCTGATTGTCGTCGCCCTCGCAGCAAAAAAATGTCGCAGAAATATCAAGCCTTGAGAAAGCCCGAGTTCGTGTGCTCTTCATCGGACTGCCATTTCTGTCGCTTTTTTTTGCTATGCACTTCCATTCTGGCATTGCACGCTCCAATATTTCTACTCCATATTGGTACCATATATTGACGCTTACTTCTCTTGTAGCATCTGTGCCACCGTTTCAATTCATTTTTAGTTCGTCACTGTCATAGCCGGCCCTCGCTATGCCCAGCATTACAGCAAAGAAAAACTCACTTATCGATTTTGAACGCGATTGGACCTATAGGTGACGTCATTCCTCGTATCTCAGTACTAATTCTTCTCTCGAGTTTAAAAAAAATCAAATTGTCACTAAAAATCGGATTTTCATGATCGTTACATGAATTTTCATCAATACTTCTTTCATAGTTCAATACGTAGTGAATGCGGATAGTGATGCTCACGCATGGAACACTTCTTCAACCGCTCACACTGCCTTTTTGAAGATAATCAAAGGAAGTCGGCAGCAATAACTCATTTGCTTCGATGTTTTAATCTATTAGATTCGTTTTATGTTTTTATTACTTAGGGAGTTTTCCATCAGTTCCTACCAAATCGATGAATTTCTACCAGATGCGGATATGCATTGCCACTGATAGGGTTGCACCCAAAGCTTCACTTAATGTGCCCTTTATTATTTCTCACACTAAATGCGGGTACTTGACCATATCATGTTGTTTTACGTTGCTATTTGAATAAAACATTTTGTTATTATCGTGGAGCAGATCCTCTTCTTTTCTTGTGAAGCCTCAGATGCCGTTCGCAACAGTCGTTCCTTTCATAGATGACGACTACAGCACAACAAGACGAGTGTGACACGTTATGGCCTCATATTATGTGAATGTGAGGTGTCTATTTTTGTGAAGTACGTCAAAATGTTTTCAACCCGAATATGAATGAATGAACATGTGGAATATTTTAGAACAGGAAGAATGAAAACTGAGTAAGGCATACATGCCATAAAAGGACTGATAACCGCTAGAACTCCAAAAAGAAACAGAGTATTCTTGCTGCTTAAAGTGCTTTAAGGACACTCAAAACAGGTACTAAGGCGTGAAGATGACTGAGTAGAATTTAAGACTTCAATTTTGGTGACTATAAATATAGCAAGTGCTATAAAATAAAAGAGATTTAGTATAAAAACCGCTGTTTTTGGCAACGTTCTCCTTCTTTCCAAAAATGCACTGTCCCTCATAGACTGTAGTAGCTTCGTCGTAGTGAATCGGTTAGCTATTGCTTATCGACAGAGTGGAATAGCCAAGCGCCATTTAAAAGATTAGCCGAGTGTTAGGTGATGAATGGATTCATGGGTGCGAGCGCATCGTGTGTCGTCTCTATCGTGATTTCCTCTGAACTCACTAAATACTGCTAACCAAAGCAGTTCTTGTTCATTATTTTATCGTTTATATTAGGAAAACATTCATTGTATTTCAGATTCTGCTTTGAGCATTATTAGTGTCCAAAAATAAAGCAATCTGATTACCTGCAATGTGGTCTTATCGACGTCCAGGAAAATGATTTTTGAAACCTCTGAACAGGTTCGTTTGTACGAATTAGTTGCCTCTATGCAGGGACACCAATTATTCAAACATGAAACTATGACAGAAAAAAGATGGGTTTGAGGTATCTCGTCGACCACATGGGCTTGCATTGACTTTTTCCCGAAGGTTGCGTTGATTGCTCTTCTCCTCTTTCAGTGCTCCGACTATCAAAACGTTCTATCTTGACGCAGACATTGTGGAACCAGTGCACTGGAGACAAGGAGCAAGTGAAACAATAATAAAAGTGAAATGAACCGTCGATGGCGGTGCCAGTAAATGCCTCAGATACTAATCCATTTCGCAACACAACTATCAAGTTAGTTAGTCGCAACCGTCGAAGTTGAAGTACGCTGGACAGCAAACGATGAGACCCTTATAAAAACAAATTAAGAGGCATGAATACTGCAAATTTATTTCCGTACCAGGGAGTGCCTGAAGTCATCGTGTGCTCGTCCACGTTTCAAATAATATTCAAGGTAGGCTTGAAAACGAACTCAGCACTGAGCTATGATGGTCATCACTTATTTGGCACTTATTCACAATTCGTTCAAAATGCAAATTCGATCCTTTCAAAGGAAAAATCAAAAGGATGTCATGGATCAGCAGTTCGCCGAATGTGCTGTGAAATATCTTGACTGAAAGCGCTCCCTACATCCTGATGTGCTACAGATAGTCCTCGGAAATTTTCAAACCCTAAGGAGGCGACAAGCAACTGGTGATTTTATAAAATTCCTCGACAAAGAAACTGGTTACGACAGTGGAGACTGACAGGATTATGATCGGTATGCCCAAAATTGCCTTTGTGATCTAAGTATCCTTTAAAAAACGCGTAGAAAAAAGTGGTTTGGATTTGGAATTTTAAAGTAAAATTGGGCTGCCAATGGTTAGGGGCAGAATGGAAACGAAGTCGAATACTCCGAGATGCACAAACAGCTCATGAGCACCTGTTTCGGCGGTGTTTTATTGGCATCTTCGCATTTAATTGTATTCGATATAAAGTTAAGCAAACTCCTGCATGTTCTACTCATGAACTCATTCGCAAGACTGTAGTCAAGCGACTGGGAAGAACACGGCAGTGGATCGGATCTGGAAAGCTTACGGTGACCTCGTAACTTTTAATACCCAAGTGATGTAAGCTGAGAAAGCCAATACCGTCGGCTACATGAGACCGACCTGGACTAGATGGCCCCACTATCAAAACGTTAACAATGCTAAGAAAGAGTTGTTATC